TCACTAAGTTTTCTTTTCCTAATAAACTGACTAGGGTAATGGGGGTAGGTGTGTCAGAGACAATAATGTTGGCTCAGGATAGAGCAGAGTTCAGAGCTGTTGTACACAGGGTCGCTATGAGTCACAGGCGACTCGACGGCACACAACAACAACAATAAACTGAAGCTACAGTTTTCTCGTCTGTCTCTCGGTCAGGTTGTCAATGTGTCTGCAAACATGAACCTTGAGAGACTTTCCTTGTAGGAATCAAACCCTAACAGAGGGTGAATGATAAAGAGAAAGACCATCAGTGAGGTAGATTGACACAGTAACTACAATGGGTTCAAACACAGTAATGATTGTGAGGATGGTGCAGGCAAGGGCATTATTTCACTCTGTTCCATGTGGAGTCCCTGAGTCAGAGGTGACACACCAGTACCTAATCACAAAAACTGCAATATTTAGAATGGGCCTAGCTCACCATTCTCTTTATGAACTTATCACAAAAATTAAATTGTGCAGAAATGTTTACAAAAGATTTGCTGGGGTTAGTGGCAAACTGGAGACTGAACAAATGTGTCACTGAGAAATGACTGAAAAGGCAGTATACTCATAACAAGGAATTATAGGCAACAGCTAAGAATGGCAAGGTACATTTATTTTTGCTTGCCTTGATTTCTGGCACTATATTTTTGAGTGGAGAACCCCCCTCAAATTAAAAAACAATATTTAGATAATAATGTGTTTTATGTAATAATATATAGAAAAATCATGCCACAAAACAATACTCTACATTTTCTATGGATAAATATTTTTTATGCAAATACATAGACTCCATTGAGGGATTGGAAGATACCACCAAGATATGGTACCAGCAGATGCATCTAGATAAAAGGAAATAGAGTCGAGTGGAAGAAGATCAAAGGGAGATTAAACTTTATGCCTAATATTGCAAGGTTTGTTTAAAAGTCAAATCCATTTTTGTTTATATGACTAGAACTGAACTTTTTATTTTGGTTTTTTAAAATTATTTTTATTGTGTGTGTGTGTTCCATCAAATCTGATCTGACTGGTACAGGAGGAGATTGTTCCTCCTTCTCCAGCAGAGCATCTGGTGGATTCAAACCATGCACCTCTAGGATTGCAGTGCAGTTTCTTGCTACTAGGCCACCAGAGCTTGCTGAAATGAACTTTTTAAAAGTAAGAAAGGTTGTGGAAGTGTTATCATCAAGAACTTAGTAAACTATAATAACTCAAAAGTCTCATTACCACCAAGTCAGAACCAACTGATAATTGACTAACAGATTTTCTGAGGCTGTAAATAACACTGGAGAAGCCTGCTTATCTTTCTTTTACAGAGTTGCTGGTAGATTTGAATCTCCAGAGGGGTATGGCCTTTGAGTTAGCAGCATAACTCTTCGGAGAATAGTGCCACCAAAGCTAGCCATTAAATTGTAATGATGTGTAAAAAAAAACAAAAACAAAAAACCCCTGCATTATTTCCTGAGAAAACAGAAAATTCTGCTTCTCTGTTACTTCACCTTCAGACTTGGTCATTTGACTTGTTCTGGCTAATGAAAGGGAAGCAGAAATGATGACTGCTGCTTCTGAGCCTTTGAGTTATGGTGCTAGAGACGAGTATTAAACATACCATGGACTGTCAAGAGAACAAACAGGAGAAGGTGAAACCAGGTTGCTCCTGAAGGCAAAGATTTTGAAACTGTCTCACATACTTTGGACAGGTTGCCAGGAGGGACTAGTCCTTGGAAAAGGACATCAGACTTGGAAGGGTGGAAGAACAGCACAGGAGAGGTAGATTCTGGATGAGATGGATTGACACAGTGACTGGGGCAATGGAAACAAAGTATGTCAGAGACAGTGCAGGGTTCAGAGCTGTAGTTCACAGGGAACTATGTGAACTAGTGGAGAACTCAGATGACTTCTGGCTCTTATTTCACCACATTCACAATCTCTTTGCCATGATGCCAGAGATATTTCAGATAGAAGTGCTTCACTGACTTGAGTCCAGAAGACAAATGTAGAACTGAGTAGTAGTTGGTATATCAGTTAGCTGTGTTGTAGCAAGAAGTGGAGTTCTGCTGCTGTACTTCCTCTCCTTCTTCAACCCTCCACCCTTTCCAAAATCATGTTCTCCAACAGGTAGGGACCTTTCCAAATTATTGAGTGGTGATGTCAGTTTAAAGATTAAAGTGCATTTGAGTCAGGCCATAGTCTTTCCAATTGCTAGCTATGCATCTGAGACCTGGACAATAAATAAGGATGACAGAAAAAAATTGACACCTTTGAGCTGTGGTTTTGGAGAAGAGCACTGAGCATCCCATGGATGGCCAAAAGGATGAACAGATATGTCTTGGAGAGGGTACAGCTAGAGTGCTCTTTGGAGGCAATAATAATTAGGCTTCACCTCACAAACTTTGGACATGGACATGGACAGTGCTTTGGGATTCTTATTCTTTTCAGTGTCAGCCACACTTGTCATGATTTGCACAGTCAAATTCCTTTATATAATCAATAAAGATTGTTAACAGTTTTAGTTTGCTTGGCTCCACAATCAACACTCTTGGTACCAGCAGCCAGGAAACCAAAAGATGAATTGCACTGGGAAAGCCCTCTGACATCGCCAGAGTACTGAAGAGCAATGGCATTATTCTAGGGACTAAGATGTGCCTGATCCAGGCCATAGTCTTCACAATTGCTTGCCATACATCAGAGAGCTGGGCAATGACTAGAGATGACAGAAATAGAATTCATGCCTTTGAGCTGTGGTGATGGAGACGAGTGTTGAATATACCATGGATTGCTAGGAGAACAAACAGGTTCATCCTAGAGAGGGTGAGACAAGGAGGCAAAGATTCTGAGGCTTATTCTGACACACTTTGGGCATGTTTCAAGGAGGAACCAGTCCTTGAAGAAAGACATCATGCTTGGAAGGGGGGAAGAACAGAGAAAGAAAGGGAGACCTTTGAGGAGATATATTGATTCAGTGGCTGGGGTAAGAAGGGTAGGTGTGGGGAGCTCTGGTGGCCTAGTGGCAAAGAGCTGCAACTACAATCCCAGAGGCGCACAGTTCGAATCCACCAGATGCTCTGCCGGGAAAGGAGGGACAATCTCCTCCTGTACCAGTCAAATCTGATTTGACGGTACACGCACACAAAAATAATTAAAAAAAAAAAAGAAGGGTAGGTGTGTCAGACAGTAAAGTTGGTGCAGGATAGAGTAGGCTTCAGGGCTGTTGTGTGGAGAATTGCTATGAGTTGCAAGCAACCTGAAGGCACATAATAACAACGGTCAATAAAGCACAAATAGACGTTCTTCGGGCACTCCTTACTTTCAGCCTGTAGCCATCTGACATCAGAAATTATATCCCTGGTGCCACGGCCTCTTCTAAATCCTGCTGGAACTTCTGGAAGTTCCTTATATATTTACTATTCCAGCCGTTTTTGAATGATCTTCAGCAGTGTTTTGCTTGCATAATCAATGACATTGTCTCATAATTTCCACATTCAGTTGGATCACCTTTCTTGGCAATGAGAACAAATATGGACTGCTTCGAATCTTTTGGCCAGATAGCTGCCCTTGAAATATCCTGACATAGACTGGTAAGTGCATTTAAGGCTGCGTATAAGGTGACTATATAAGGGGCAGCTATTTCTCATTTTTAGTCTCAGATGAGTAAGAACAAAGGGAAAAATATATATGGAAATAATCCTAAGGACCAAGTGAACGTCTGTTTCCACAACCCTGAGACAAGAACTAAAAGGTGCTCAACTATCCCGTACTAACTATTCCCAAAGGGATCATGTTAGAAGATCCTGAAAAAAGTGGGTAAAAGCTGTGGAATAAAATTCAAAGTCATAAAAAGAAATAGCAAAAAAAGTCCAGGCTTGTTGGTCTTGGTGGAAACCCCAAGACTTTGACCCGTAGCCACCATTCAAGCCTAGAAATGAACTCACCTCATGGCTTAATTTTTATCCAAACAATAGACACGTCTATAAAGAAATCAATTACACTCAAGAGGTATGCATTTCTTAGAATCATCAACCATTTGAAATCAAAGAGGCAGAAATTGCTCAAGAGCAAAGTTCCAAAGCCAGACAAGGGCAGGAGAAAAGTAGAAATGAAAACATGAAACACAAGAAGTGGTCTGCACGTTGTTAGGTGATATAACCAATATTATGAAACAAAATGCATGGAATCTGCTGAATGAAAGACTGATCTGTTCTGTAAACCTTCAATGCGGAAGAGGGCGGATGAGAGTGAAGAAGAATGAACCGGATGAAGCAAAGGCAAATTTTGTCATTTTTTTCCCGTTTTGCCTTAGGAACTTGACGAAGTTTCTAGAATCAAAGAAAGTAAACTAGCTGTGCATTACCAGATGACACATTTCCTGAGTTAACTGGTACACCTTTCCAGAGTCTTGGAAAACTATTGAGAAAAGATTCCCAGAGTGGTTTAGCATAAAGGTATATGAATGTCCCCTCCTCCAAAATGGTGTTATCTGGGTCTGTAGTTATGATGATGGTTATCTATGCTGACTTAACTCTTCAGCTCAGGCAGAAAAGACCAGGAGTTTAGTAGGAGCTGAGAAGGAGTGAGAAAAGTGTCACTATTCACCCAGAAAAGGAGGATGAACTCAGTTAAAATCCATGAGATTGCACTGGTGTCTCTGTTTTATTCCTAATCTTAGGGAGGCTCTGAATCACTCTTACATGCTGGTTCATGCCCAAAAGTCACTATTGAAGTTGGCTAACCCAAAATTTCCCAAGAGTGAGCATGGACAGAGAGCTCTCACCCTAAACCCTGTCCCCTCTACCGTTCTCCTTTCAGATGTCAGAATCATGCATGTCACAAGTTGGTAACTGAAACAAAAGGGAAGAGGCCAACTCCACATCTTCCCTAGTCCCATTTAGCGTCTTCTAAATAAGCAACAGAGAACCCCATGGAAAAGTGGATGCAGTGGGATCCACAGTCCTCATGGTGCCAGCATAAAAGAAAAGTGGTCACAAGCCCTTGATAAAGTTGGTTACCACATTCATAATCCTTGTGGAGCAGGGGAAGTGTAAGCATCCCATGTCAATGGTGTTGAGCACTCCATGAAAACCGTCTTCCATGTGGTGCCATGTTACTGGCACACCCAGGTCCTCCAGTCTCTTTTTGTACAACAGCAAGTTGTCTCGAATAAAATCATACTCACAGGTCACAATACAGGCTTCAGGGACCTGAGCTACAATGTCATCGTCTGCTATCAGAGGTGAGCTAGTTCTCTCCAGAGCTAAGCTTATTTCCAAGTAGGCATTCTCATTGAGGGGTGCATGGGGCACACACCGATAGCCTCGCTGTTTGAACCTATCTGGGATGTTTTCTGGGCCCAACCACTTGGCATATTTTTTCCAGACTTCCGTAGGCAAATGGGCGCCCTTAAAGATTGTGCATTTCCAAGAGGGGTCGATATCTAGGTATCGACTCCAACAGTAAAAGGCAAAGTCCCTGGAAAGTAAGGGCACATTCTTGTTCTGCTGGTAAGAAGGGAGTTGGAAGTCCAGGCCTTGCAAAACAGCGTAGATCAGAATCTGAGCACGGAACATGGGAATATCCTGTCTGTTCCTGAGTTCTTGACAAAGTACAGCTGCCATTGCGCCTCCCACACTGTCACCACATACCACAACCCGGGCAGGATCCACTCCATACCAATGCAGAGATTTCAGGAAGTGGATTGCGGCTGCGGTGCAGTCCGTTTCTGGTGCTGGAAATTTGTGCTTGGCTAGCTTGCGGTATCTGGAGAGAGATCAAAGAATACTAGCTCATCAAGCCAGTAGATCCAAAACCTGTCTGCATCCTTTAGGAGTTGTAGATGGTCCAATAAGCTAAGTGTTTAGCTACTAACCAAAAGTTGGCAGTTCAAATCCTCCTAGAGGATTTTTGGAAGTAAAACCTGGCAATTTGCTTCCCAAAGGTCAGAGCTATGAAAAAAGAACAGTTTTATTCTGACAAGTGTGGGATTGCCATGACAGAAGGTTAAATTATTATTACTTGTAAGCGTCTTTTGTTGTTGTTGTATACCATCAAATTGGATCTGACTGGCATTGGCAGAGATAGCCCTTCCTTTTTTCCAGCTGAGCATCTGGTGGATTTGAACCAGGCACCTTCATGATTGTAGTGCAGCTTCTTGCCACAGTAAACATTTTTAAGCCCATTTTTACCCCTAGTGCTGTCTTGTTTTCTCCCCCTCCTTCCAGCCATTCTTTCATTCTTTCTCTGTTGCTTTTCCTTCTCTGTCTTTCCTTCTTTATCTGGCCAGGTAAAGGACATAAAGGACACGCTTATCAATGTGGAGCTCTTAGTGCTGGGCAAATAGGATAGTTCCCACCATCTTTATGGCTATTCCGGACTGGCTATGACCACAGTCACTCAGCTAGTGGCCAACTCCTTAAAAATCACTAACATTAGCTCTATCTTTCTGAACCTACCTAATAATGTTTGTTTTTTGACTGTGACCTATTCCTGGCTCCCATGATTCTTCTATTAGCAAATCTATGATTATGTGGATTTTGCTTCTAATTAGTTCTGCTTCACCCCAGATTGGTGGGAGGCTTTTAACTATCTCTAAGCTCTAGTGGCCTAGTGGTAAGAAGCTGAGCTGCAATACCAAAGATACATGGTTCGAAGTCACCAGCTGTTCCTTGGGAGAAGGATGGGCAATATCCTCCTGAAAGCCCCCCAGAGGGTCAGTTATGTGTCCGTTCCAATTCTATGGTACACAAATTACCACATACAATCACATAGGAGGAGATTGTCCATCTTTCTCCCATGGAGCCACTGGTGAATTCAAACTACAAGAAAGATGCCACCTTTGGGTCAGCAGTTCAATCCAAATTTCCTTCTCTTCATCCAACAAGATCAAACGTCATGGACGTTGTTACACCATTGGGTCCAGAGTAGTAAGACTAGAGTCTTAAAAGCCTGTGAACTATTGGTCTCTCTTTGTCCAGGACAAAGAAGAGCAAAGAAAATCAAAGACATAGAGAAAAAATTCATCCAAAAGACCAGTGACCTTTAAACTCCACTACCTTGAAACCAGAAGCACTGGATGGTGCCTACCTATCACTGCTGAATGCTCTGGAAAGGATCACAGGAGAGGGTCCTGGGCAGATCTTAAGATCACAAGAATCTCACAATCACAAAATTGGCTCAGCATGGTAGACTCAAGGAACATTCACCCTAGGTTCCCTATCCAACATCCACTAATCCTATTTGGAGGTTCCAGGTAGATTGGTGGCTCAGAAATAAGATATGAGAGTGGTTTCTTTACTCCTCTCACTTCTCAGCCAGGGTGGGTCTCCCTCTAAGAGCTCTTGGAAACAGTTATCCTAGTAACCGTGGCACTTAAAGGAGGAAGGGACTGAATATACAGCACTCTCTGAATTGTTCTGCTCAAAAGAAAGGAATCTTACCCAAAAGTGTACCTAGCAAAAAACTCATCAACTTATCTACTTAACAAACATCATATCCCATGCTCTGTCAAAAGATTCCGTGCACTAATTGTCCCTACTTAAATAGCACTGTACCCAAGAATGGGGTATCCATGCTATGTATCTCCATATTTCACTTGTTACCTGCCTTTTCTTCCTACAGTCTTACAGACATGGTACAACCCATGCCTTCTTCCTGGTCCTCTAACACTCCGTCTGTCTACCTACATCAGCTTGCCACCCTCTTACTCCCCTGGTAGCAGCTGGCACCTCCTCCCGCTCACCCTGTTACTTACCCAACAGATAGAACCACCGAGTCGCTCTCCTTGCACAAATGGCAGCATATACCGTAATGGGTTTCTAGAAAACAAAAGGTTTTTAACATTCAACATGAGCTACTGTAGTAAAGCTATTTGATAGCGACTCCCTTCTTACTCAAGACCATAGCCAAGTTCTTGGATAGATAGTTTTTTCAATTGCTGTAAAATCCCAGTGGAGAGTCAACTGGCATATTTGTTTCCATTCAAAAAAAATGTGGTCCAACAGAGTATTATTGGGCAATATTAGTAATAGCACATGCAAGCAAAAATCTTGCTAAAGAGTATTAAAAACCAGCTATAATTGGGAATCAACAGAGAACTGCCAGAAAGTCAAGCTGGATTTAGAAGCCATAGACCTAGGGATATCATTGCTGATGTCAGGTGGATCTTGATGGAAAGTAGAGAATACTAGAAGGATGTTTATCTGTGTTTTATTTACCATGCGAAGACATTTGCGTGCATATCATAACAAATTATGGCTATAGTTGAGAGGACTGGAAATTCTAGGCCACATAATTGTGCTCATGCAAATTCTTTATCTACATTACAAGACAGCTGTCCAAATGGAGCAAGGGAGAGGGGGAAGATGTATGGTTTAAAAGTAAAAAAGGTATGTGTGTAGCTAATCTGTATCCTTTTGCCATACCTACTCAATTTGTATGCAAAACAGAGCATAAAAGAGGTCAGACTTTATGAAGAAGAATGTGAAATCAGGATCAGAGAAAGACTCATCAATAACTAGTGTCAAGCAGATGATACAACCATGTTTGCTGAAAGTCAGGAGGACGTAAGGTACTTGCTGTAGAAGATCAAAGACTATAGCCTTCAATATTAATTACATCTCAATATCAAGAAAACAAAAATCCTCCCCACTGGGACAGTAGGCAGCATCATGACAGAGAAAAAATTGAAATTCTCGCCTACCCTCCTCTCTTTGAGTGCTTGGGGCTGACTTCCTCCCCTCTTCTTGGCCTCTGCTGCTGCCTAGCTCCACGTGCAGCCAACATCATGGGCTTCAGAGACCTCAAGACCACCACCGGCCTCCAGGTCCTCAATGATTACCTGGCCGACGAGGAGTATGTGCCATCACAAGCGGAAGTGGCGGTGTGTGAAGCCATCTCCAGCCCCCCACCCGCCGACCTATGTCATGCCTTACATTGCTATAATCAGATCAAGTCTTACTAGAAGGAAAAGGCCAGCGTGCCAGGAGTGAAGAAAGTGTTGGACAAGTGTGGCCCTGCTGATGTGGAAGACACCACTGGAAGTGGAGCTGCACTCAGTAAAGATGACAATGACATTGATCTCTTTGGGTCTGAGGAGGAGGAGGAAATTGAGGAGGCAAAGAAGCTAAGAGAAGAACGTCTTGTACAGTATGACTCAAAAAAAGCCCCAAAACCTGCACTTGTTGCCAAGTCTTCCATCTTATTAGAAGTGAAAGCCTTGGGATGATGAAATTGACATGGTAAAACTGGAAGAGTGTGTCAGCAGTATTCAGGCAGACGGCTTGGTCTGGGGCTTTTCCAAGCTAGTACCAGTGGGATATGGAATTAGGAAGCTTCAGGTACAGTGTGTCGTTGAAGATGATAGAGTTGTCACAGATATGCTGGAAGAACAGAGAACTGCTTTTGGAGACTGTGCAGTCCATGGAGGTGGCTGCTTTCAACAAAATCTAAAGTCCATGTGCATCCATCAATAAAAACTTTAAAAAAATGGGGAAAAAATTGAAATTGTCAACTGTTCCATTTTACTTGGATCCACAATGAACACCCTTGATATCTACAGGCTGTCAAGAGATCAAAGGATATATTACATTAGAAAATATGGTGTCAGGGACCTCTCCAAAGTGCTCACCAGCAAGGAAATCAGTTTAAAGACTAAGTTGTAGCTGACTCAAGTCATGGTCTTCGCTACCCATCTGCATGTTGAACAATGACTAATGATTCCAGCAAATTAGATGCCTTTGAGGTGTGGTGTTGGAAAAGAGTATTGACTATCCAGTGGACTATCAAAGGAACAAACAAGTCTATCTTGGAGAAAGTACAACCAGGGTGCACCTTGGAAGCAAGGATGGTGAAGTTTTGTCTAACCTACTTTGAGTGTATTGTTAAGAGGGACCAGCGATTAGAAAAGAATATCATGCTTAGATAGGCTGGAGGATCAGATAGAAGAAGAACCTCAACACGATAGATTGACATGGAAACTAAGAATGGGCTCAAGCATATTGGAGATGGTAAAGATGGCTCCAGAGAGAACCGGATTCAGATGTGTCACAGTCACCTCAACAGCACATAACAACAATAACAGCGATCTATCACCGTATATATATAGAGAGATGGAATTTAATGACATTAAGTTGGATCAAACACATAGTGATTATGCACTGGGTTTCTAAGGCTATAAATATTTATAGAAGACTATTCATCTTTATCCTGAGGAATGACTGAAAGATTTGAACTTCTGATCTTTTGGTTAGTATACTGACATATACTACAGCTCCAGAGCTGCTTTTCATAGAGGTTAAAGTTTCAAAATCCCTATGGGGAAGTTCTACTCTGTACCTTAAGAATGCTATGAGTCTCTTGGCTTACTTCCAAAATGAAATTGTCATTGCTATCGTTGCTGTTTGAATGATCTGAGACCCATTCACTGTATATAGACATGGTCCCTGGCCACAGAGTGCTTGTTAAACTCTGGAAAGATCCTGGGATTTTGTCCTATTACATAGCTGGACGAGATGGATTAATATAGTAACTACCACTACAGGCTTAAGCATAATAGAGAGTGTGTTAGGATACTGTAGAATGGAGCAAGGTTTAAGTTTGTTATTAATAGGGTCATTATAAAGCTAGCCAAATTGATGACATATAACAACAATAACAATGATATATATCAAAGGTAGACTGCTTTGAAGGTGTGGGTGCTCTTGTACTTTTCAAGATTACAAAAGCTCTTACTCATGCTCCCCAAGACCAGCCCACCACCGTGGAGGAACAAGATGCCAGGCCTGAGGGTCGAGGAGGATGCTTTTGGCTGGAACAGCTTCACAGAAATGGTCCCATAGCGGAGGTCTGTAACCACAATATCTGGATACTTTTTTAGTGGTAGCAGATCATGAAAGAAACGAGCAAATTCAGGCATAGGGCATATTTTCAGTGTCTCAAAAATCTTCCCCTGTTGGAGAGAGAAGAAGAAATGCTGGGAGAACACACTCAGGTCTGTCTTCTCAGTCTCCTTCCTACACTCAGCCCCTGAAGATGGCTCTCATTGTCTTCAAGTTGAAACCTACTCACAGCTGACCCTCTATTGGGTTTCTGAGGCTATAAATCACAGAGAGGAGATTGTTCCTCTTTCTCCCTAGGAAACACTAGTGGATAGAGAACTAAAATTATTAGGCTGGCCACCGGTCTACTCAACATCCTAAACCATTTCACTAATGATAAAATAAAAACTATCCCATTCCTCCACAATCTAGTCAGTATGATCCAGGCATCTGGCCATTTCTCAAAGTTTCTTCTACCTGGAGTAATCTCCCCAAAACTGTCCTCCCATGACTGTAGATCTAAATTAACGGTTGGACATGTTATTTCCTCCCAGAGGCTTTCCAGCTTGACGAGTAGGAATATGAAATATTTTTTAATTAAACAATGCTATGTCCTGGATGTGCTTAATAGTAAAAAAAAAAAAAGAAGGAAATAAATAAATTTTAAGAAATGGGAGAAATGTAGAACCAAGATTACTCAGGAGTTGATAATTGCTGGTGCTGGTGCTGGGTGTTAGGAACATAGCCATCCTTATACTGTTCTGTTTCCTTGGTCTTAGGTCAGAAATTCTCCAAAATAAAAAAAAAAATATGAAAAGACGTGTTACTGTTGTTAGGTATCATCAAGTCAGGTACAATCCATAGCAATCCTATGAACAACAGATCTGAACCCTGACCTGGCATGTGCCATTCACACACTTCCTGACACACTAGAACCCATTGTGGCAGTCAATGTGGCAGTCTCCCTGATTGAGGGTCTTCCTCTCCGCCAATCTTCTGCCCTTCCAAGCCTGATGTCCTTCTCCAAGGAATAGTCTCTCCTTATTAACATGTCTGAAGCTTCATCGTCTTTGCCTCCAAGGAGCACTCTTGCTTCACTTTCTCCAAGACATATTTGTTTGTTCTTTTTTATAAAATTTTTTTATTATTAATGTCAATGAAAATTTACAGAGACTTTGGATTTCCATTCATTCATTGTTGCACTTTTACCCCTCCCAACCCTATCCCCCAGTATACTCCCTTCTTGGAAAAGTAAAAGAAAATTCTTTCATTGTTTTACAATCCCTCTCCCCAGGTCCACTCCACTATGCAGCCTTCGCTCTAGACTCCCACCATAACAAAAATACCTAATCAAATATCCCTTTTAAATAGTTTTCTCCCTCATATGTCTCATTGCAGTATACACTATGGAGCCCATCTTCCTCAGCCTCCCCCCAACGCTGATGTAAGTCCTGTTTTACAGCAGTGGCACCATGAAGTATTTGTCCCTTTGTGACTGAGATACATCACTCAGCATAATGTCCTCCAGGGTCACCCATTTTGAATAATATTGCATGAGTTGCTTGTTTTTCAATGCAGCATATTATTCCATTGTGTGAATATACCACAGCTTCTCTATCCATTCATTTGGTGATGGGCCCTTAGGTTGTTTCCAACTCCTTACTACTGTGAACAAAGCCACAATAAACCTGGGTGTGCATATGTCTGCTTGGATGTCAGTTATGGTCTCTTTGGGGTATATTCCTAGTAGTGGAATTGCTGGGTCAAATGGTATCTCTATTTGCAACTTTTTGAGAAAG